GGTAGGGATGGTTTGGGGGTGGGGTGGATTGTTAGGGATGGGGAATAGGGTGGAGAAAGTTGAAAAAGAGTTTTGAAAAATATTTTCCCTCGAAAATAAATTCTTAAGGAAAATATTTTTCAAAACTTCAAGCCAACCAAATATGAAAAAATTTAAAAAAAATCGAAAAATATTTTCCTTTATACCGAACATACCCTTAATATATTCACAATTTCCTAATGGAGAAGTACAAATCCCATTCTCAAAGGAATTACGTGAAGTTACCGAAACAGTCCTTTTATGAACAGTGCACGTGAATCCAATTGCAATTGGATTTCATTCTAAGTCTTCATTAATATTTTATATATACCTTATATAAATAAATATTAATTATATATATCAAATATATTTATATATTTTAACCAAGAGATATATTTTAATTTTTATTCCAAATAAAAAACTTTAATTTGTTCACAATATTAATTATATCCTTTATGCTAGCAAAGAATATAATAATATTTTATTTGGACTAATAACTAAATTTATTTGACTAATTAAATTCTTTAATTTTAATTATCAAACAATAAAATAATTAATCATTTAGCAAAGAACATAACACTCGTTAGTGTGCGACCCCATAGGTTCAATACTAAACTGGTAGTAAATTGATCATATTAATATACTAATCAAGGGTTGCGTCTAGCAACACTCCTTAACGACCGGATAGCATGAAGTATACAATTTACTCCCAAGAACCCGTAGAAGAATAATGTAGTATTTACTCCTATCCTTATAGCTCTGAGTCACCTTAGGATATAGTTTAACTGTCAAATCCTAATAGGCGACCTACTATGTATTCATGTCAATTATAATTGGCCGATGAATGACCTAAGAAACTCTTTTCTTCTTTCATTCAATCGCCCCGACCAAGGTCTTAATTTGGTCATTAATAATTCATGACAACATGGAGCTTAAACTCATTACCAAGAGTTGACATATTCCATCTTGATCAATCACTAATTCTACAAGTATTTAATCATAACTAATATCCTTTCAACTATCGCCCTAGGGCCATAGGTGTCTAGTATCAAAGTACAATAAATAACTTATCAATTACTATGACGATCTCAGGTCAAAGGAAACTCTTACATTACATTCTTCAAGAGAATATCCTATTGAATAGTTTATGGTAATTCTAACCATTAGGAATTATTAAATGAGTCGGTTCAATAATCATATCTCTATATGCATCATCTATCTATGTGATTTAATTAATGAGATCAACTAATTTTTATCTCATAAAGACGATCACATAAATATTCATCTAATCGGACTACTAATGTCCAAATTAATAATCCTACGATCAAGAAAAAATTTAGATTAAATTGTAAAAGACTTTACTCTTATTATCATGATCTCCATCATGATGACAAGTCTCAAAATTTAATCAAGGACTTTATTAAATTAATCAAGTAATTAATAATAACTATAATAAAAGAATATCAAATGCAATATATTTTTATATCAAATAACGTTCACAAAAATATGTTTAAATCATCAAATATGAGATTGGATTTAGGGCATATCTACTATATCCCTAACAATCTCCCACGTGCACTAGAGCCAATCGCAATTGTACTACATTCCCAATTTTCACTTGTGATTGTCAAACTCCTTTGCACCAAGAGCTTTCGTGAATGGATCTGCTTCAGTTTCCTTTCCATCAACCTTTTGAATATGGGCGTCTCTACGTTCAATGATTTTTCTT